TATTGGAAGCAGGCCGAACCCCTAGGGAAACTCCTTTTGAACAGATTGGCTGCTCAAAACACACACATCCGATCTCTTCATGGGAATAACCACATCACAACTGATTAAACCACTCAGAATCATGGTCCAGCCAAGTTGTCACACAACCCCAACTATCACAATGTGTGCTTCCAGAACTGCATCTATTTCCTGAAATATCTCAGTAGGTATTCTGTCAATTCCTGAAGACTTGTCTTTGGCCAATTCCTTCAGTGCAGCTTGGACTTCTTCCTTCAATACTGTTGGTTCCTAATCATATGCTACCTCCTGAAATGATTGAATGTTGGCCAATTCTTTTTGGTTCAATGACTCAGAGTATGTCTTCAATCTTCTTTTTATGCTTCCTGAATCATTCAATATTTTGTGAAAAGAGTCCTTTAATATTGCAATTCAAGCCTTGAATTTTTCTCCAGTTCTTTCAGCTTGAAAAATGCTGAGCGTGTTCTATCCTTTTCACTTTCCAATTCCAAGTCTTTGCACATTTCATTATAATACTTTACTTTGTCTAATTGAGGTGCCCTTTGAAATCTTCTGTTCAGCTCTTTCATTTCAACGTTTCTTCCTTTTGCTTTAGTTAACTCTAAGTTCAAGAACAAGTTTCAGAGTCTCTTCTGACATCCATTTAGGTCTTTTCTTCCTTTCCTGTTTTTTTAATGACCTTTTGTTTTCCTCATGTATGATGTTCTTGATGTCATTCCACAACTCGCCTGATCTTTGGTCACTGGTGTTCAATGCATCAAATCTATTCTTCAGATGGTGTCTAAATTCTAGTCTCCTCTGTCAGTCTGTTGTACTGTGGTGGCTTGTGTGTTGCTGTGAGGCTAGAGGCTATGCCATAGGTATTTCAAATACCAACATGATCATCCATGGTGGACAGGTTTCAGCAGAGCCTCCAGAGTAAGACAGACTGGGAAGAAGGAAGGAGGGGTTGCTATGAGTTGGGTCTGACTCGATGGCACATAACAACAACAACAAAATGTAAGAGAATAAATCCCACTGCTGAAAGAATTGGCCACTGAAAATCTTGTGAATAGCAGTGAAGCACTGTCTGATATATTACTGGAAAACTTTATGAAGAGCTGTGAAACATTGTCTCATACAGCACCAGAAGATGAGCTCCTCATGTTGGAAGGCACTCAGAATACTCTTGCGGAACAGCTGCCTGCTCCAAGTAAAGCTGATCTTAATGAAGTGGATGGAGTAAAGCTTTAGGGACCTTCATTTGCCAATAGGGCATGGCTCAAAATGGGAAGGAACAGCTGCAAACATTCATTAAAAATTGGAACGTGGGATGTACAAAGTACGAATGTAGGAAAATTGGAAGTTGTAAAAATGAAATGGAATGTATAAAAATTGTTATCCTAGGTATTACTGAGCTGAGATGAACTGGTATTGGCCATTTTTAATCAAGTATATGGTCTACTATACAGGGGAATGATAAGTTGAAGAGGACTGACACTACATTCATCGTCACAAAGAACATACCAAGATCCTTCCTGAAGTACAATGCTGTCACAGTGATAGGATAATATCCATATGCCTACAAGAAAGACCAGTTAATATGACTACTACTTAAATTTATGCACCAGTCACCAAAGCAAAGATGAAGAAATTGAAGATTTTTACCAACTTCTATAGTCTGAAATCGACCAGACATGCAGTCAAGATATATTGATTATTGCTGGCAATTGGATTGTGAAAGTTGGAAACAAAAGAGAAACATCAGTAGTTGGAAAATATGGCCTTGGTGATAGAAATTACACTGGAGATTTCATGATAAAATTTTGCAAGACCAACTACTTGTTCATTGCAAGTTCCATTTTTCAACAACATGAACAGAGACCATAAATGTGGATCTCACCAGATGGAATACACAGAAATCAAATTGACTACATCTGTGGAAAAGGGTAATGGAGAAGCTCAATATCATCAGTCAGAACAAGGTCAAGAATTGACTGTGGAACAGATCATCAGTTGCTCATGTGAAAGTTCAGGTTGAAGCTGAAGAAAATTAAAACAAGTCCAGTAAACTCTATACCTAGTTAAATTGCTCAGCTACTACCTGGAAGGTGGGTGGTTTGAACCCACCAGTAACTCTGCAGGAGAATTCTAGATGTAGCGATCTGCTCCCGTAATGAATTACAGCCTCGGAAACCCTAAAGGGGCAGTTCTACTCTGTCTTATATAGTCGCTGTGAGTCGGATCGATTCTGTGGCACACAATCACCACCAATGTATTCCATCTACCTAACTTAGTATTTTCATTGATTTATGCATTTTCCTAGGCCATATGGTCCCCTGTTAACATATTGTAGTTGTCTTCTCACAACTTAAAATATTAGAGGGAACATTGGTTATAAAGATGTTCAGTTTGTAGATGAAGATATAAAGATACTGTGGTAGTTAAGGTTATGTGTCAACTTGGCCAGGCCTGGTTTTGAGTGGCTGGGCAGCTGGATGTAGTGATTCTCCATGATGAGAGTGATAAGCAAGTCTGTGGTGGAATCTGCTGTGAGCAGTCGAGTAGCTGCCTTACAGATGTGGTCTGCTTCCAGTATATAAGAAGACACTTTGAGAAAGCTATCTAGCTTTTTGGCATACTTGGACCTTGCATTTATTTTTTCGTTGTGCTTTGGGTGCAAATTTACAAAGCAAATTTGTTTTACATTCATCAGTTTGATTTCACAGCCCTGATTACCATCCCCAACCATAAAAAACTCTCCTCCCTTCTCCTTCCTGTGACTACCCCTTCCCTGTGCCCTTCCTACCTGTGCATTCTTGTCTGTCCAGCTTTCCCTCTATGTGAATGCTACCCTTCTGGTGTCTCAGGGCTGATCTAATAGGTGCATCTCCCTAGAGTAGGTGGGCATATTACCCTGCACGTAGGTCTTTCTACTGTTGGGCTGAGAGCAATCCATGTAAGTGAGTCCATTTCTAGGCCCGAAAGGTAACCCAGGGCTGTAGTCTTGGGGGTTCCACCAGGTGGACCTTGCGTTTAGGCAAGACTTCATGGAGCAGCCTGCCATGTTGCCTACCTATCTTGGGGGCTGTTTACTAGTGTCCTGTCATGTTGCTTGATAATCTTGGGACTGTGCCATTTCACTTGTTGACCTTGGGTTTGTCAGCCTCAGCGGCCAGCAGCTTCCTGAGTTAAGAGATGGTTCAGCTCCATAGGGCTGGGAGTAAGAGGCAGAGGTAAAGCACAAGGGTGAAGGGTCTTCACCCATTTCCTAGAGCTAGCACTGTGAACTTGGACTTCTAGCCTTCTAAACTGTAAGAACACTTGACTGGTAACCAGAAGGCTGGCAGTTCAAACCCATCAGCCACTCCTTGGAAGGAAGGTTGGACAATCTACTTCCGTAGTGATACTGCCTCGGAAACCCAAGAAGGGGTCACTATGAGTCAGGTCTGACTCAATGGCACATAACAACAACAACAACATACTGTAAGAGAATAAATCCCCATTTGTTAAAGCCATCCACTTGTGATATGTCTGTTATAGCAGCACTAGAGAACCAAAACAGATACAAACTTTAGAAATAGATTGCCTACAGTTAGGCATTTGTTGTTGTTATGTACTGTCAAGTCAGACCCGACTCATAGTGACCCCTCCTTGGGTTTCTGAGGCAGTATCACTACGGAAGTAGATTGCCCAACCTTCCTTCTGAGGAGTGGCTGATGGGTTTGAACCGCTAGCCTTCTGGTTAGCAGTCAAATGCCTTAGGCACTATGCTACCAGAAGGAAGATTGGGCAATCTACTTCCGTAGTGATACTGCCTCGGAAACACAAGGAGGGTTCGCTATGAGGTGGGTCCGACTCTATGGCAAACAACAACAACAATTAGGCAGTGTGATGACTCTGCTTTTGAGGCCCTTCATGATTAAGCTCCACATTACATAGTCAAAACTTCCCACTATTAGCTCTCAAGCCACCTTCAGCTTTTTTCCTTTAAGTCTCCTAACCATTCATGCTGTGCTTATTCCCACTTGGCATGCCTTCCCTCTTGCCCTATGTTCATCTAAATATGTCTCTTCCAGTTTAAATTCCAGGACAGGTGAGTAACTGTCCTAGTTTGTCTGAGACTGAGGGAGTGCTCAAAAAATGTGACTTTCATTTGCAAACTAGAACTTGTTTGTTGCATAATCCCAGGTCTGCTGTGAAGCCTTTACCAACTATTCTAGCCCACACTAAACTCTCCTCTAATAAATTCTTTTTTACATTCTAGGTTAATATACATTCTTAGTTCCAACCAGGTTAACATGTTCTTTAATTATTTGTTGGAGGGCTGTTTGCAAGCTTCTCTTCAGGATATGTCTCACATCTCTCATTTTTAAATTCCCTAATACTTAGTGTAGGAGCTCTGGTAGCATAGTGCCTAAGGCACTTGACTGCTAACCAGAAGGTTGGCGGTTCAAACCCACCAGCCACTCCTCAGAAGGAAGGTTGGGTAATCTACTTCTGTAGTGATACTGCCTAGGCAACCCAAGGAGGGGTCGCTATGAGTCGGGTCCGGCTGAATGGCACATAACAACAACAATACTTAGTATAGTGCTAGTGTTTTAAAAAATCAATCAAATAATTTAAAATATGTACTTACAATCTTTCAAGAATTACATAAACTTTCTTCTTTAGTTTAAGGAAAGCAATAAATCTTAAAGGTTATGAGCATAGGTTTTATATTAGGACAGGCATGGGCTCGAATTTCTACCCTATCACTTACTTATCTGTAACCTTGTGCAAATTAATTAGCATTTCTGAAACTCAGTTTCTTAAATCTGAAAAAGAGAAATAAAAATGCTACTGACTTCCTAAGCATATTGTAGTATTAAACAAAATAATGTCTATTAAATGCATAGTATGGTGTTCTAGAACATAGCACAATAATTAGTTATTAAGTAGTAGTTGTTAATATGTGATTAAAAATCATTGAATTGTATTCTGTCATGCTTTGTTTCTTTCAGGGACTTTATGTCATCCCAGGCAAAAGCAGTTATTAAAACTTCTGAAGATTATTTGCAGCCTCAGTTTGGTCCCCGCAGATTTTTGCATTCAGCGGCAGTATCAGAAGGGTCGGGACTTCAAGATTGCTCCACACATCAAACAGCATCAGATCATAGCCATGATGAAATATCAGCTCTAGATAGCGACAAATCAAATAATAAAAACAATTCTTGTCTTATATCAGCAACCAAAAGAAACAGACCTGTCAGTGCTCCGATGGGTCAACTGAGGTAATCAAAGCTGTTCTCTGGTCTTTAAAAGCAACTGCTGAAGCTCTTTCTTTTGAGCAGAATTTATAAGGATTCAGTTGACTATTTCAAATATTAAAATGTAGCTCATCTCCAAGGTTTTGTTTTGTTTGTTTGCTTTCTTTGAAAACACTAGAGTAGAGTATTGCTAATTATACTAGTAGAAAACATGAGAAATACTTCACCTTGGATCATCTGAAACTCTGAAAAAAATATTTAAAACAGAATCAAGCTAGGCCCATGAAATATCTTCACTTAACAATATATATTTTTAAGACTAGATATGTATGCTTTTGATATTTAACCAATATTTTGAAACAAAATGGAATTAAAATGAGTTTATTATAAAACCATTTTGTATTTATGTTTTCACATAGAGATTGTTATCAGAAAATGTTAACCTAAGTCTATGATCAGAAGAAAATGTTGGTAAAAATGAAAATCACCTCAGGAAACTAATACTCCATTATTTTCAGATGTTTGAACATGTGTATTGTGATTTTAATTTACCTGAAGTTTTTATTCTACAGTGTTTGCTTATGTGGAAGTAAAAATTAACACAGTTAGTTACAGAACTCTGAGATTAAAAATTTGTTACGTTAGTTAGTCAATTTTACCATACGCTTTTGCCTAAAAAGTAATAAAAGATAAAATTGGTTTTGACTGAAGACAAAACACATAGAAGTCTTAACTCTTACTACCCTAAACAATTAGAAATGAAGGCAGTTATAATTAACTTTACAGTCAAAATCTTAATTATAATCTATTTGGATTTCACAGACTTTTTAAAAATCAAAGAACTTTGATAAACATAAAAAAGAGGGGAAAACCATTTATTATTGTTTATTGTTAATTAATATAAGACCATGTTATAATATTGCTTTCTAAAAACTGTTTGCTATATATATATATAATATTATATATATATATAATTTTTAAAAATTAGGGTTATCATTTCATAAATAAAATGATAAAAATGATTTATTCTGAGACAAGTATTTTATAAGAGATGTTTTGGCAAACATCCTGTTTCAGTGTTGGGGTGGGATATTCAAATATTTAGAGATAATATAGCTTATAAAAATAATTTTTTGGGAGAACACTTATATACATAAGAATAATCTTTAGGGCTTTTATCTGTAAAACAAATCTAGGATAATATTTATTTAAAAGTTCCTCCTGATTAACATGCACCAATTTTTGTGTTTTCTTTTCTTCAGAGTTGCAGAGTTCTCTTCTTTAAAATTTCAATCTGCCCGGAGCTGGCATAGAATGTCTCAAAGACTCAAACTTCAACCAAGAATGATTAGAGTAACAGCTTACAAAAATGGATCTCAGACAGTCTTTGCCAAAGTTATTGTAACAACCATCACCTTGGTAACTAACTAGTGCTCCAAAGTTTTCAGTGCTTTCTTTCCTTACTGTTTTTATAATATTAAAAAATAAGAAAGATGACATTTACTGTGTTAAAATTTTCTTTTTAATAATCAAGTCTGTAAATTCCTCATACATACATATATCTCACAGACATTTTACTCCTTTCCTTTGTTTTTAATCAATATAAACAGTATATTTAATTAAACAAATACAATGTCTTTAAAATAATAAAACATTTAAGGACTACAATTTGACAGTCATTAAATTTTCTCAGTGCTGTGATTTACCTTTTATTCCTATAAAAGGTAGAAAATTCCCACCTGCTAGAAAATAACTATATTGGGTGAGTTACTGGAGTTACTTAACTCACCACGTGAAACTCAGTTGGGTTCTATTTTGATTCTTAGAACCTTTTGTTTCCTGGAAATATGTTACTTTCGTGTTGTAATCACCTTTTCTTACCTCTTGCTCTCTTGTAGTTACTGGAGAAGTGCACAGAAAAGCTGAATCTGAACATGGCTGCCCGAAGAGTGTTTTTGGCAGATGGCACTGAAGCCTTTGAACCTAAAGATATACCCCATGAAGCCGACATTTATGTTTCAACTGGAGAACCCTTTATAGATCCATTCAAAAAAATTAAAGGTAAAAGAAGAAAAAAGAAAGGAAAAATAAATAAATAAAATGCTACCCTCACACACATTAAATTGCTTAAGGGGTGCAATTAAAAAATGATTTTCATCCTGTCTTTTTTGCATGGTTTAACAAAACTAATGTTTACGCATTTACAGCTCAGTAAGAGGATAATGTGCTTAATGAAAGAAAAATCCACTGACAGCCACGTTTATTGCCCTTCATTAGCGTTGGTGCTTAATTTAATATAGATCTGAATAGACATTAGGGAGCCTGCAGGAGGTTAAATGGTGAAAATATAATAAATTAAATCAGAGATTATTGAATTTACTGTTTAGTTTCTGTGACACCCAACAGACATAATTCATTAGACTTATTCTCTTAGAAAATAGTTCAAAGTTTCAAGTATCATTTATTCATTTATACTCTTGGTCTTTTTCAGATGTCATTAGCATAATTATGAAAATGTGTGCAGTAATGAATATCTTATGACATGATTTCCTAATATAAATTTTTTAAGGTAAATAGTTTGGCTTTTATTTTTTTTTTTTTTTAAATAACCTTGAAATATGTATGTGTGTGTGAGTAAAATCTTAGAAATATTTGTAAGTAAGGTCTTTTTAAAACTTCATTATTTTTAACATTTCAACATTTCAGAAATGTGTACATTTTCTAAAATTCAAGTTTCTCCTTCAGTTGGAAAGAATAAATTTTAACATAGAAATAAAAGTACCAGCTAAGAATATTCTTCCAACCATGTCATATCCAGTGTCAGTTACTAAGTGCTATCTGTAGTAATCACGTTTAAATGACATAAGAATTTTGCCTTAAAGATTCAGTATCTAACTGCTGTATTCGCCTATGCATTTTATACCTTATTAGAAGAGCTTTTTTCTGCAACTGCTATTAAGATGACGAATCAAAGGCAAGTCTAGGCAATAATTGCATAAGGGGAAGAAAATTAATTTTGGAGTTCATTATGGAAGAAGTGATGAAAATCCATCTTCTATTAATGATATTGTGTAAAAGGATAGCAGGATTTCTGTCTTTGATCATATTTGAGCTACAGGAAGAAAAATAATTTCTTGAATTCAATATAAAGTTCAAGATAATTTGTTCTTATAAAGAAACTTGTTGCTATGATACTCAGTAAAACTTGTCTATGCAATAGTGTAAACCCATATATTTTCCAAATTTTGCTTTAATCTCAAAATATGCCTTTGTTTTATTTTCATTAAATTATCTGCTTATATCAAAGCATGAATCTTTGTGAGCACATATGTCTCTGAAATGACTTTTTGGAAAATGCAGGTATTTATGTAATGAGTGCTTCATTAAGATCCTCACTTACGTTTATTAATAAGAAAGTCTTACCTTTTATATGATTAATGGTGTTGTAGAAGAGATATATGAAAATGATTGTAAGTTAGCTTCTTAGACTATCTCCTGGATATATTTGCCTAAAATAACACTGTTACATACATGACTAAGCTTGGTGGATGATTTTTAAATGTACAAACTAATTTCCTCCTACTTTTTGTTTTCTTTTTTATCCTTTTTAAAGCCAAGTCCAGAACAAAAAACTCCTCTGCTTTGTCTGCATATCTTTGGCTGTGTTTCACTGTGACATGCACTGCTGTTCTTTTAGCACCAAAATGTTGGCACACACTCCTGAAAATTTCACACCATCTCTTGCTGGATCAGCAAGCTTAACCCACCAAAATCTGGTGTTGTGCAATGGTTTTTGACTGATAATCAATCTTTATGCTGCTCGACAGTTGTTGCTGGGACACGAAGTAGAGCAGGTGGCAGATGTGCCTTGTCTTTTGAGAAAAGAATTGTAGGTGAGCTTGGACACAGACTAGCATATCACATGTCCATTAAAAAGACTGAGGATAAGTATAATGGGGAAAAAGCCACTTGTCTCAGTTAAGCTCATAGATAAGCCTACCCACTGATACTGGGTTTCTTTCACAAATTAAGAATATAAATGTAAATAGATTAGATAGATGAAAGATAATCTTGACTTAGATGATTTAAGAGAGTGTGCATATATGGATATGTAGAGATATATATGCATTTGTCTATAGATAAATATATCTCACCCAAATATTCACATTCACATTTTCCAATCATCTAAATCAGGTTAAAATTACCTTTCTAAATAATGTTTCTAAATATCATGTTTTATACACAAATCAATAATTTGCCACTTTGTCTTCCTAGGTCTACCATGAAAATAAAACATATGAATAGCTTTGGGCATGATAGATACATTTAGAGTTAAGGCAGCATTATCAGAATTTGGAAAACTGGATATGCAGAAGCTAAAGAGGGGGAAACAGCTGGCAGAATTGGGTGTTACTGATATATATTTTCTAAATGAACATGACCATTTTATACACAGTTTCCTAAAAAGGCATTAGAGTCATTAACTAGTTATTATTTTCATTACTGAATTGTATTCATTCAGCAGAAGTGTATTGAGGACCTACAATGGCCAGGTACTAGGCCAGATCTCAAACACAGAGATAGAACAAGGAGCTCAAAGTCTGATTTCTTTTTTTGTCATTATTCTTTCAGTTCAGTTCAATCTAACTTTAAACTAATAAATAGTTAGTGAATATGTACTGTGTCTAGCCCTGGCTTAGAGATAGAAGTTCTAGTATTCAGGGTTTAAACTGGGTAAATAAGTTAGAAATCCTTAAAACTGAGTACATTATTTGACAGTGTACATCAAATGAGTCTTACAAGGGAAAATTTACTTTATTTCTGGCACAGGAAGGCCAAATAAGTCACTATGTGTTCTGGAAATTATATTTCCATACTTCTTTGGTTTTCTTATTCTTTGGAAAATCAGTGTACAGATAGTGAATATTGCCTAAGAACTATTTCTAGGTTATCAAGGTAAAGAAAAGCCTACACAGTATCTCTCTCGCTTCCTTTTTTTTTTTTTTTTTTTTAAGCTTTTCTACTACCCCTTTTGAGCATCACTGCTGACATCCAGTGGCACTGGATTTAATAGAAAGCCAGAGCTATTCATCAACGTTCTCAACATAAAGCTATCATACAGAGGCCAGGCCAAGGTCAAAACTGATATGTTGAAATGCAGTATTAGAATAATTCCTACATTTTGAATTTGAATGACTAATGAGAACAATTAATTGTGTGTGGAAAAGATCAGAAAAATATAAATATTTTCTCTAGACTGTTGATGAAGATGTCTTATTAAGTCTTGTAATTCTGGCATTTAAAGATGCTGACATTTATTAATGATTCCAGTGGAATTGTGAAGATGTAGTTAATGAGTTGTTTAAAAAGGCATTTGAAAAGTTTTCAGATTCATGACCATGTGGTTTAGGTTTTATTCAGTTTCCGTAATCTTCTGTTTAATGGTGGCATAGTGATATTTTTCAGATCAGACCTATAGAGGTTTTAAGAGTTTGGCTCCTTTTTAACTGCTAAGAGTTGTAGACAATGCAAACATAGAAATGGTTCCTGGCCTCCAATTAAATAAGTATATTAAGAAAATGAGGGGAAAACTATGTGAACTTAATTCAGTGGGACTCAAGTTCCCATTCTCTTATTGCTTTTAAATTTCTTTAATTTTATATTTCTACTATTTCTTACATATTCTACTATTTGTCTTTCTATCATTTACAGTGATTCATGTTAGTCCTGAGTTTTGTTAACCAGAAGTGAAACTGAGTATTATGAATAAGATTTTGCATCTTTTATATACCACATTGTAAAGATATAATTAAAAAAAAAATCCATGAAAAGAGTTCTTGATACTATACCTAAGATCTAAATTTAAACCTAGAGATTTTCTGCTAACTGCCATGTGATCTACAAAATGAAATAATTTGCTGTGACAGGTTGTGATTGACAAGAATATGTGTGAGCACATTTAAAATAGGCCATCTTTTCATGTAGAAGTAAATGTCAGTGAAATGATGGATTCTCATCATTTTAATTATTGATGATTTGGAAATATTTCAGTTCCACGACACACAAGACACATTCTAAATAGCAGCATAACACTTTTTCTCATATCTGCGTCAATAATGAAATGTTCTGTCATATTTTGTTTTTCAAAAAATGCATTAGTTTAATGAACCTGCATTCATGCATTATATTCTGTTCCGTTGTATGAATTTTAAATGGTTGTGTTAAAAGCACAAGTTTAAAGAAGTGACCCAGTACCCACATCCCATCTTACTATTTCTGCTGCTGGGTCTCAAGACAGAATCTACAGAGCTGCCTGTACCCATTGGTCCTGCCACAGCCAACATTGGGCTTCATGAAGCTCACCATAGGGTAATCACTACTTAATTGGTAGAGTTACAGAAGAGGTAGGGTTATCTTTCCCAGATTCCCTACTATTGTATTATTTGAATAATATATGTGTTAGATAAGATTGTCTGTCCATCCATCTTCTTTCTCACTTAGCTACATTTTCTCAAAAGCAGGACAATGATATTATAACTCACTGCCCTGGAATCGATTGTGACTCATAGCAACCCCTCTGTGGGTTTTCCAGGCAGTATCTCTATGGAAGTAGATTGCCCATTTTCCCTTCCTAGGAGTGGCTGGTAGGTTGAATCGCCAACCTTCTGATAAGCTGTCAAATGCCTTAGGTGCTCAGAAAAAAAAAAAAAAAAAATGCAACCCCTCCTTGGGTTTCCTAGGCAGTATCTCTACTGAAGTAGATTGCCCAATCTTCCTTCCAAAGGAGTGACTGATGGGTTTGAACCGCCAGCCTTCTGGTTAGCAGTCAAATACCAACATTTTCGTCTGAGACAGCACTTGATTCTTCTATTTCTACAAGTGAGGATAAAAATATCGGCATATATTTCATACATTTCCCTATTATTAAAGTTTTAAGCCTGTAACTAAGTATGTAGAGTATTTGTACTATAAATATATGTTGATTTGAAGACAACTGCAAGAAATGGGCCAAATAAACTCAAAGTTCTACAAGTGTCTTGTCTAAGAGGACAATGTAGAAC